TCTTCCAGATCCTCGAGCGCGTCCTCTTTGGTATGCATGTCTACTACATTGAAGAGCACGTGCTCGACATTGAGACGCCGGCGCTCGAGTCGTTCAAGCCCGAGGAAAAGCCGCTTGAGCACATTGACCCTGCCGAGGCCTACAAGGCGCCGGGTGCGTACATGAAGGCGGCCATTATGCGCATCTCGATGGTCGCCATCTGCTCGGTGGTCGCGGTCATCTGGAAGGACCATTTGAACGCGCTCATGGACTTTGTCGGCGCGTCGACGTCGTGCATGGTGTGCATGATTCTGCCCATCGTCTTTTACCTCAAGACGTTTTGGCCCACGGTCTCGGCGCCCGAGAAGGCCTTTGGCATCCTCTGCATTGTCATCTCGAGCTTCCTCGCCGTGTACGTCTCGATCAACACGGGCAAGGAGCTCTTCGCGCCGACGCACCCGGACCCGACGATCCTCTTCCCGCTCTGCCCGGCCAAGTACCAAAAGGTCGTCTTCACCAACACGACACACTACTCGGTCGCTCGTGCGCTCTTCGAGTACTAAGCCGCTGCATTTTCGTACCCCTTTCCCCTGTTTAGAGTCGTCGCATAATCAAATTAACAATTAAAACTGAACTTGTCAAGTCACCTCACTCGCCTTTCGTTGACCCCGCATCATGGCGTTGCAAGAGCACTCCAGTGCAATGCCTTCCTCGATGCACTTATGTCTGATATGTCAAGGAAAGCTGTACATTTGGTGATGATATCTATCCAGAGTAGCATTGTGCTGAAAGACAGGGTGACAGCTATTGCGTAGTACTTGCACCAGTTGATTGACGGTATCGACGCGTCAACTAGTTAGACGTTAAACGTGTCGGTGGCGTTCCTCGCCCGCCGACACAGGTCGGCATACGAGCGCGGGCTCAGCGGCAGATCCCAGTCCGACTCGGACTCGTCATCACTCAGCGTGAGGTCCACGACCACAGGCGGGCTCATCGTGAGATCGATGACGGCTGGTGTCGAACGTTTCGTGAACCGGTATGGCCAGCAGACCTGCCGTTGGGTCCATGTCCCTCTTCGTGGCCCTGGCGCACTCGCTTCTTCTGTCTCGGGCTCCCGACCTGCCACCGTCGTGGCCACCGTTGGCGTGGACTCTTGCACGGGCTCGGCGCGCGCCACAGCAACCGTGGGTAGCGTCGCATCGTCGTTCGTCCATGCAGTGGGCTCGGTCAACGTTGCTTTTAAAGGGACTTGTTGGCCACATGTCGCATTCCTTGTCGACACTGGCGGGTCGCATGCTGTTGACACCAGTCGCGTCATCCGCAATGGCGTACAGAGCGGGATGTCACCGCGTTGCGCAAGGGTCACCGAAATGTACTTGCCTTTGGCGATCTGCTGGACCTTGCAGCGCGCAAATGTCGTGCCGAGGGCGGGCTTGGTGCCATGACTCTTGACGTGTCGGCGCATCGTTGCTTCGTCATGCGCGAAGTAGACGCAATCGGCACGCCGACAATGGAAGCCGCGGGTCGATGGGTACAGAGGTAGCGCCGGCACGGGGCCTGCCATCGGCGTTCGGTACGGCGACGCTGCAATCGCGGTCGGACACGAGAGGTTGGCAGCAACGAGGGCCTGCGTCACCTGCGCATGTGGCAGCGTCAATGGAAATGGCTGACTGCATGCGCCGTAGACGTGCTCGATAATACGCGCAATCCCGACGCTCAAGACGAGCTTGCACGGGACACAGACGGCAAAGCGAACGTCGCCCGCTTGGACGATCGCGAGGCGGTCGACCTGCAGCCGCATGCTATCGCTGCAGAGTCGGCGGCGCGACCGTGGCGGCGCCGGTGTGTGCGGACGCCGGGCGTTGCTGGCATCGCGGAGGGCAGCTGTGGAGCGACTCCTGCACGTCTCTACGGTACCAGAGGCGGGCTCGCTGGCGCGGGCAGCAGGAAGCGGCGCGTCGGACGACTTGGCACTTGGCATGAGCGACGCGCTGTCTCTTTGACTCGTTGTTCGTATCCACGAACTGTCTTGCGAGGGAATCGCTTTGATTGGCTCAAAAGAAAGCGAAAGGAATCGGATTGGCTAAAATACAAAAGCTTGAATGTGGGATGTACAGTACCGTCGCCTTCAACCAAAGGAATAATGCCCTTGCCTTCAACCAAGGAAAGAGCTTTGCCTGCAACATAGATCGCTTCTTGAGTGTACGTCAAGATGTCCAAGGTAGCTAGCGCACCACTATAAGACTAGGATCAGAACTGGCATACAGCGATGTCCGAGGAGTTGCCCATTGGGCTCTATACATTAGGAGAAAGGTGGATGCAAATGGAAGTGGGATCACTGCACACGGTCTTGGGACAGCGCTGAGATTTCTGATTGACGCTTGTTGGATGTCGCGATGATGCTTGGTGGCGGCAGCTTATGGAAAGTTGCTAGAATGCGCGGAAGGTTCTTGGCACGGCTCTGTTTGATTGCACTGATGCCTTTT